TTTGAGATAGGATCTTACTCTGTTGCCCTGGGTAGAGTGCAGTGGCATCATCATAGCTCACTGCAACCTCAAACTCCTGGGCTTAAGTGATTCTCCTGCCGCAGCCTCCTGAATAACTGGGACTACAGGCATGCACTACCACGCCCAGCTAATTTTTTCTATTTTTTGTAGAGATGGGGTCTTCCTATGTTGTCCAAGCTGGTCTTGAACTCCTGGCCTCAAGTGATCCTCCCACCTCAGCCTCCAAAAGTGCTGGGATTACAGGCGTCAGCCACAACGCCTAGCCTGTCTTGACTATTATTGTAGCTTTATAGTAAGTTCTAAGAATGTTTTAGCCATTCTGGGTCCTTTGCATTTCCACATAAATCGTGATTAGTTTGTCAATTTTTGCAAAAAAGATTGGTAGAATTTTGACAGAGACTGTGTTTAATCTACAGATCAATTTGAGAACTGCTATTTTAATAATATTGCGTTTTCCTATCCACAAATGTGGAATGTTTCCCTTTATGTACATCTTCAATTTCTCTCAGCAATGTTTTGCTATAGTTTTCAGTGTACAAGTCTTATTCTTCTTTTGTTAAACTTATTCCTAAATATTTTCTCTTTCATGCTACTGTAAATGAAGTTTGTTTTCTTCATTTTATTTTTGAATGGTTCTTTGCCAGTATACAGAAATGCAATGGGGGCAGGAAAAATAAATAAATAGAAATACAACGGATTTTTGCATAGTGACACTGTCTCCTACAACCCTGTTAAACTAATTTAGTTCTAGTTCTTTGTGTCAATTCCTTAGGGTTTTCTACAAACAGCATGCCATTAGCAAATACAGTTTTACTTCTTCCATTCCAATCCCAATGCCTTTTATTTCATTTTCTTGCCTGACTACACTGGCCAGGACCTTCAATTCAATACATTTTGAATATAAGTGATAAGAGTGGACATCCCTGTCTTGTTCTTGATTTTAAGGGGGGAAACCATTCAGAATTTTATCATTAAGTACGCTAGCTGTAGATTTTTTGTAGATGCCCTTTATCAGAGCATCTGATAGATGTCCTATCCATTATTGAGAGTGGGATACTAAAGTCTCGACCCATTACTGAAAGTGAGATATTCGTCCCCAACTATTATTGCTGAAGTGTCTATTTTTCCCTTCAATCCCACCAGTTTTTGTTTCACATATCTTGGGGCTCTGTTGTTAGGTGTGTATGTTTACAATTGTTATATCTTCCTGATGAACTGACCTTTTAACTATAAAATGTTCCTCTTTGTCCCTAGTAATATATTTTTGTCTTAAAGTCTATTTTGTCTGATATTAGTATAGCACTCAAGCTCTTTTATGGTTACTGCTGTATGGAGTAGCTTTTTTCATCCTTTTACTTTCTGAAGTGTTTCTCTGGAAGACAAAGGATCTTGTTTTTTAATCCAGTCTGACAACAACTCATAGATTGTTGACTAAAGAATGCCTTTTTCCACTAAGGAAGGTCATTCTTATGAACCATATATACAACTTTGGAATGTGGAATAATAGAAGAGACATTCTTGAGCCAAACTAACCCTGGCAAATCACTACAGTGACAGATGCAGCCATACTCTCTTGTCTAATCCAGTAACCTACCTCTCAGCCACTGCTAGCAGCCGTTCTGGCCTAAAGGTACCCTCGGTGTCAATGTACATGGCCTTTCCTTCACCTCCACCCCGGTCAATCGGAAGCTACAGACAACAAAAAACAGTGGAAATGAACACTCTATTTCTGATAAAGCTGACCAAGTTCCCCATGACGTCTCTGTAATTCCTCCCAACCCCAATAAAGCAAAGGAAAAAAACACTTAAAAATAACAATCAGAGATAGGTAGGAGGCATTCCCTTCTGACAGAAACACAGCTAGTAGTAGATGTAAAGCTCATTGTGTCTCATAGTACATGCAGCTATAGTCTTGTCAGAATTGGATTGCTTAGAAATATAGTCCAAAGTAGGGGATAAAATTCTATAACTGTATACAAATACAAGATTGATTAATTCAAAAACACAAACGTTTGGAAAACCTTTAATCAATAAGGGAGCCTAATCCAAAACCTAATTAATTTTAGCATGTCTAGACCAAACTTATACTTCACTTTATTGAGCAGAGTTCATTTCTAAAGGTTACAAAAGGGGCTTGTCAATGACTCAGAAAGACCTATAGCAAGTTTAAAGTGTCAGCAAGAAAGAAGAATAAAAAGGTGTTTGCTCCTATATATAGATGCTAAAAATGAAGGGAGAAAAAGAAAAAATAAGTAGTAGAAATTAAGAGTTAAAAAAAGGGAAAGAAAAGAGAGGAATATGGAGTATAATAAAAACCATCTCATGAGCCACTCAGGGAAATGTCTGCTTTAGGCTATCCATTCTATGTCAGATACCTTTGAATCCTTCTACAGATTCTTTTTCTTTTTTTTTTTTTGAGACAGAGTCTCACTCTACTGCTCTGAGTAGAGTGCC